GCACCTATTTAAAAGCATATTTTCTTTTTCTTTTTCTTTTTTTTTGTTTTTTTTTTTTTTTTTTTTTTTGAAATTTTAGGATTGTTACAGTATAATTTCATTTGCTTTATATAACGTCTCAATTTTTAAGTTGGGGAAAACTTCACAGGTTCCACCTTCCAATTGCGTACCATGGACGAGCTTCGTCAATCCTTCTCTCTGGCACTGATATTATTAGACCAAGGTGAACTAGTAAAAAATTAGATTTTTTATTTTCTTGTGTGTGTATTATGTTTTTATTTTTTATTGGTTTATTTATTTATTTTGGTTGGTTTTGCTGGTTTGGGGGGGGCAGGGGGGGGGGGGGGGGGTTTGGTTTTTTATCTTGGTAGATATAATTTCCTATGTCAACATTGTTGGTTCTGTTTCTGATTTTTTTGTAAGTATTGCTACAAAGTTCTCACTCAGATGTTCTACAATTTGTGAAATTGGTCAAAAAGTAACGCATTTCTATATTTACTCTTTACTCTTCAACAAAAAGATGAAAATCCTATAAATGAACATTGTAAATGAGAATATAGAACACTTCCCTAAGAATATAGAAGTATCAATGTGGACCAGTGCCTATGAAATTTGATCATGATGGTGGTACATATGCTTTCACAACTGTCTCACAAGCACAAAGATCTCTAGTCAGTACTTTGTTTTCTACATTACCCATGGAGGGCATTTTCATCAGTTTAAAAATATACACTTGTTTATGGTATACCTAGAATTTGGTCCCAGTTCCCTGCATTATCACTAGTCAGATTCAATTTTTTAATGTTTCTGAAACATTTTAATTTCTAATGGCCATTGGAAAAACCATGCATATAAGTGATGAGATCTACCTATATTTGAATGAGTGGTTGTACAATTGCTCATGGTTGATCTATACATAGTACTCTGACAGAAGTTCTATTTCATCTCTGGGTCCCGCTTCGATTCTGCTCCAAGATTGTATTATTTTACTTACATCCTGTCGTGCAAAATCTTCTAGCAAATTGATGGAATACACAAAGATACTGGTTCTCAAAGAAATTTCCTCAATTCTACGTAAAATAACATTAAATCAGCATTGTCCTTCATCTTGACATACTAAGAAAGTTAAATGTTACAATTTCTTTCTTATCATGCTTGTGTTACCCACACATACATAAGTGGTACAACCATGTGAATGAATGAATTTCTCAAAACTTCCCTAAAAAAATAGATGTTGGTAAAGAAATGCCAGAAAATAAGTGGTGATTACACAACATATACCTTTGGCCCTTGCTTTAACCCATATGTGGCTTTTCTTGACTTGCACTTTTGTTAGGGTGTGAAAAAGTATATCATTATCATCATCATCATAGCCTTTTCCCAATTAATTGGAGGTTGGCTACACAGATCCTAGTTTGCCATTCTGCTCTATTTAAGGCCACACCCTTTGTGAGGCTATAAGTCCCCATATCTTTTCCGACTACTTCCAACCATGTCTTTTTGGATTTATCCCTTGCCCTTTTCAATCCTTTCACTTGAACTAACTCGCACCTCCTAATAGGTGATGTACTGGGTCGATGCCACACATGGTCAGCCCACCTAAGTCTACTCTCTCTCATCTTATAGTGTGTTGGTGCCACACCTAAACTTTCCCGATTGGATTCATTTCGGATTCTATTCCTTCTTGTCTTGTCACTCATCCATCTCAACATTCTCATCTCCGCTACACTCATTTTATGAGTATATTTTTTTTTCCACCCAACATTCCGCCCCATAAAGCACAACTGGTCTTACAACTGTCCTATAGAACTTACCTTTTAGCTTCATTGGTATGCGACGATCACAAAAAATTCCAGCGGGACATCTCTACTTCACTCACCCAGCTCTAATATTATGTGTGATATCTTCCTCAATCTCTCTATTTTCTTGGATTATCAGCCCAAGATATCGAAAGTACGGTCTTTTTTATACTTTATGGCTGTCAATCTTAACTACTTCCTCTTCTCTTCTCTTATTATTACTAAACTTACATTTCATATACTCTGTCTTGGTCTAAGAAAGGTGATGACTTTAAACTTTTCCTTAACCCGTCCCATACCTAGTACAAAGGCTGGGTTGTGTTAGGTAGGCAGCCAACGTAAAATTTTGGTAAAACTCATAATGTGTGAAAAAGTATATATATATATATATATATAAAACAAATGTAGAAAGTGAAAATTTTTATAGATCACACCTATCTCTTTCCTTCCTCTGGAACTTTCAAGGGAGAGGCTAACATGGTGTTCTCAGTTTTGGAAGAACCCCAAGAATGAGGAGGGCTCGACTCTGTCAACATTTGGTTGTTCTCAAGTATTAAGTTATTTTACCTGATGGCTCAAATAAGATGACCATAGGGGACGAGTTCTAGAGTTTTCTATCTTAGATCCTTTTGAGTAAACTTGGCTTCATACTATGGATTTAGATGATCTTTTGATTGCTTTATCTGGTGCATCCTAGTGTCCCCACATCTGCTACTTGTGTTATTGTGGTGAGCAAATTGTGGCCTTCTCTTCAATTTCCTCCCTTGCTGGGGATGTGTTGAGCATTTCCATGGATCCTCCTGACTTAAATTTGGTTTATTCTGTCCTCTGTAGTTACACTTTTTATGTTTTTGGTACTTACAAGTCCATACCACATTGCACATTTATGCTCTGTCATTCTGCTATTTAGAGATGGTTTTCATGCTGGTATGAATGACCTTTTTGTGCCTTTGGGTTGTGTGGCTCTGTAAAAGTAGGAGTGAGGGATTGGCTGGTTTGAGGTTGTTTGTCCTTGTTCTCTTGCTTGTGACTTATGGGGAGAGGGACGCTCACTTAGAGTTATTCAGTGGGCCCAGAATGACCATTGGAGAAGCACAGACCTGTTGGATGAGATTTTGCCTCTCGGTTTCTCTATGATGTCCTCCTGTCATGTTATTAGGGAGCCCAATGATGTTTTTTCAGTTTGCGAAGGGCGCTGAGTCAATTACTCCAAACATAGAGGACTCCATTTATCTTGGCTAGATTTGTTTGTTCTCGCTGTCCCGTCTGCTCCCTACCTTTTCCTCTCTTTTCTTACCCCCTTCACCTCTTTCATTTTCCTTGTATACTTTTTCTGTTGGTCTTTATTCTTTTAGTAAAACTTAAAAATATCATCTTCTCTGTAAATGAATGGTCACTTACAGAAGAAAGGAAAACAGGTCCAGTTATTCTATTACAGAAAATGCAAGTGGGTTGGCATGAGGTTTGTCTCAAGCAAATTTAAGTAGCTAGATGGAATTCTGACAAAGGGCTGTGTACTCTGAAAATGTAGCACACAAATGGGATGCTATATACTACCTCAACTGTCCATTATCAACAAAGGGTTTATATGATACACGTAACATACAAACAGTATGCTGTGTCTTTATTAGGTTTCCCTTCCTTTTCAGACTTGTTCCCATGTTTTATTCATTTCTTGGAAAATGATCTTGTATTTGTGTTGATAGCTTGTTGAATGGATTGCTTGTGTTTGATGTTCAAGGATTTCATGACTTGTGCTCTCTTTTTTCTTTTTTGTAGCCTATTGTCTATTCTGTTTTGAATGGAGTGAATAAATAGGAGTTACATAGTCACAGTCCTTTTATTGCTTGATGTAAGACAGATAATGGATTTATTTGTCTTTTGTTGAATCTTTTTAAGCTATATAAATGGATGAACTATAGTATCTTAGTATGCTTTCCTCTCATGTCGGTTACTTCAATTCGTGTTCAGATGTTTTATTTATATAAGATCATTTCAACATTATTGCCCATTTTTATTATGTTTTATTACATGATTAACCATTTTAGTTGTTTTCTTGAGATATCATTTTTCTAGAAATCAAAATGAAAATTTAACTGATTGTATTGTTTTTATATCCCAGAGGCCAATCTTTTCCCGTTGGAAATTCTCCACCTTACTTTGGACCATCGTTAAAGCTTGATTTTGAGCTTGAAATGGTTTGTTCTTTATTGATTCCTGAAATTCTTATTATTATGGCATCATTGAGATGTTTTTTCCGGACACATAAGCGGTCATGAAACTGATGACCACTTTATTCTTTGCTTTGTAAGTTCTAGTAATGATTGCATTGTTGCTTTCTTTAATTACGATTACTTTTAAAAAATCAGTACTTCAGTCTTAACTGCTTCATTCATTTGTGTAATTCTTTTCTGATAAAGATTGTTATTATTTTAACAGGCTGCTATAGTCGGTCCAGGTAATGAATTGGGTAAACCTGTGGATATTGACAAAGCAGAAGATCTTATCTTTGGACTGGTGCTGATGAATGACTGGAGTGGTAATTATGGTTTTCTCTAAGTTCTGATCGTGTTGGGTTTAATTTTTCTTCTACTGTGGCACTTTATTTAAAGGATAATTAATTTTGGCAGCTAGGGATATCCAAGCATGGGAATATCAACCTCTTGGGCCTTTTCTAGGGAAGAGTTTTGGTAAGCATGCTTTGCACCTTTACTTCAGATGTGCTTGGTTCAATCTTAACCTATTTTGTGCCAGAGACCAAAATACTAATTATAGCTCTCTTTTATAACCCTGTTTTATACTAATTATAACTCTCTTTTGTGCTACAGTCTTCACCTTGTTATAATGCTCTTTTATTCTCTGAAGCCTCTGATATTCCAAATTCGAATGATACAGGTACGACAATATCACCCTGGATTGTGACCCTAGAAGCACTGGAACCTTTTGCTTGTGATGCTCCAAAACAGGTAGAAAAAGTACTGAGTCACTTTATGAGCTCTCATACTCAATTTCCATTAAATTAGTGAAAATTGTGCTTATATTTTGTCCAAATCATGTATTTTTTAAATTTGCTTTGTGAAATATTAGTTTCTGCGTTTTCGAAGTTTATGACGCCAGCAAGCTACATCTCCCCCCCCCCCCCCGGTTGGACTTTTGGCTAGAGTTAATAAACTATTTTCTGGTGGTTCACTTTTAATAGGGTCAGTCGTCAGTCACATTCTGAGATTCTAGAAACACATGCTTGTTTGGGCCAGTAAAATTTTAATTCTTCATTCGCCGATCCCAAATAGCTGGGAAAAGGCTTTGATGATGATGATTTGGTGAAAAGTAAAATTTTATTAGAACTGTTGGTTTTAGGTCTTCTCTTGCATTTGTAAATGGTGTTTTACAATTCTAATGTACCATGATGGTATGCATGATACCATCTTGTCTTTGAATCAGGAAGTGGGCTTCGAAACCAACCCCCACCGCTTCTTTTTCCTCCCCCCCCTTCACTCTCTCTCAGCTCTCTTGTTATCTTATTGGTTATTTTTTTTCTTTTCTTTGCTTGTCTTATTTTACGTGCATCTTCTAACTCAGCCACTAGGTCTCATCTGTCCATTATTATATCAATTTTGAATAAATATGATGAATATGCCAACTTAAATTTCCTGCTAGAGAACATGTATGGTTCTGATCAACAATTTAAAAAGATTGCTTCTTAAATTATTGTGTTCAAATGTTAAGTTTCTTAGTTATGTTTTGCGATTGATTTATGCGTTGTTTCTTTTTCTTTTCAGGAACCTCATCCTCTGCCTTATCTGACTGAAAAGAAATCTAAGAACTATGACATTGCCTTGGAGGTATGTTATTTTGTTTGTAGTCGGGATCTCAGTTCTTTTGCTTTCTGTCTTCTTATCCTTTTGATTACGCATGCTCGATTTGTCTTTTTCTTGACAAAGACCTTCCTGGTTTTTCGTGTTGCTCATTGAGTTTATGAACTGTATGGTATTTTATTATTTTGTTCTTGATAATAATGGACATTTTATTTTCCTTGAAGGTCCAAATCAAACCTACCGGACATAAAGAAGGATCAGTTGTGACAAAGAGTAATTTTAAATACCTGTAAGTGGTTTCTTTGCTAGTCCACTTTCCGAATTCTTGGACTTGTGAGAGGCATATGTGTTTGACATGATTTGTGTAACCTCTATTGTCGCCTTTAGAGTTGAAATATTTATTAGAAGCTAGTTGAAATCTTTATTAGAAACTTATCAGAAATAAAATCGAGTTTACTATCTTCTGTTTTCATGATATTTTCTTGTTAAAGCTATTTAAATGACTATCCAGTGGATTGTTCGTCCTTTTTTATATTTAATCCCTAATTGTGGTTTCTTACAGTTTATTAAATGAGCTCTGTCTCAATCTTAAACCTGCATTTGTGATTGGCTTATTCATATGCTAGGCTTTATTTTTTCTTATTGTATGATTTGTTCTTTGATATCTTAGCATTGGTTCACTTTAGCACAAATGTACTGATTTTAAAAGTTGGGTGATGACATTGCATCCCCTGTCCTCTAGAATCTCCATCTGCTTCATATCACTTTCTCCAAACCTTTCCACGAGTTTAATCTTGTCAACTCATAAAGGAAAACTTCAACCCTTTTGGACTTCTCTATAGTGGGATGGTTCTACTTTTTGAATTATGGTCTATTAGCCAAGCATAGTTTCTTTAGTTGTCTTTTGAGTTTGTATGATTTATCATTTTTATGACGTATGTATTGTGCATTTTCTTCTTTGCTGCATTTATGCTTTTGTCACTTCTCCTGGTGTTGTTTGTGTTATAGCTATTCCGATGCGTTACTATTTTTTGATATTCTGTTGTTTCTCTTTTGGTAGTTCTGCGGTAGGAATCGAACTTGGGATGTAGTGTTGCAATACAACAACTAACCAGTCAAGCCAAGCCCGATTCCTATATTCTGTTGTGTTATTTCAGACTCTAGATGTTAATTGGCAACCATGAGGATCCTTAATATTACTCTATTCTCTTGAAAAGTATGTAACCTTGCTGAACAGTTTCTTTTTATCTCTTTCTACGCCTCACAACCTTGTCATTTGGGAACCAGATCCCTAATATTACTCTATTCTCTTCGAAAGTGCCTAGCCTTGCTGCAAAGTTTCTTTTCATCGCTTCTCTTATTTTCTACTCTCCACAACTTTGAGTACATGTGTCCATTTCCCTCTCTCTCTCTCTTTCCCTCACACACACACACACACTCTCTCTCTTACCGCTCCTATTTCCTGGAATATTTGTGCTTTTTATTTTTGTTATTTTAGTCTTTCTATGTTCCTTTCTTCCTGCCTTCTCATTATTGCATCTCTTTCTCATCATGGCACCTTGTTCTCTTGAATTGTACCATCATACTTGGATGTGACCTCTGGTATCAGCTCCTTGATGGGTCAACCTAGTGTCCATCTCCTTACATTCTTACTAGTTATACGAATATTCTGCCATGGTGTACATGATTCATTCATTTCTGTTGAACTGCTTCAATGAAGGATCAACTCGGTGCTCTACAGATTGCTTCAATGTTGGATCAAGTCATGCTTCAGCATAGGTTTTTTTAATATCCAACACCCGAGTGTTTTTAGTTACATTAAACCCTTCCTATTACTCAAGAAACTAAAGCATCATCTTCATCATCGTCAGAGCTTTTTTCTAACTAATTAGGGTCGGCTACATGAATCCTAGTCCACCATTTACTCTATTGAGGACTATACCCTCAGTGAGGCCATAAGTCTCCATATCTTTTCTCACTACCAACTATGTCCTTTTGGCCTTTACCTCTTGTCCTATATAAGCCTTTCACTTAAACTAACTTGCACGTCCTAACAGGTATTGTATTGGGTCTATGCCACATATGATCAGCCCATCTAAGTCTACTTTCTCTCATCTTATCTCCTATTGGTGCCACACTTAAATTTTCCTGAATGTATTCATTTTGAATCATATCCCTTATTATCTTGCCACGCATCCAACATCCTCATCTCAGCTACACTCATTCTATGGGTATGTTGTTTCTTGACAACTAAACATTCTGCCCCATAAAACAAAGCTGGTCTCACAACTGTTTTATAAAACTTCCCCTTCAACTTAATTGGTATGCGACGATCACCTAAAGTTCCGGTTGCACATCTCCATTTTGTCCACCCAGCTTTAATTTTATGTACGACATTTTCCTCAATCTCTTCATTTTCCTGGATTATTGACTCAAGATATCGAAAGCTCAGGTCTCATCGATCAAAACTATATTGTCCGCAAATAACATGCACCACGGTACCTCATCCTGTAGGTGACTAGTTAAGTCGTCCATAACTAAGAGAAAGAGATATGGGCTCAATGCTGACCCTTGGTCCTATTGTCACTGAAAACTCACTCGTCTCTCCACTAGTTGCTCGTATACTAATTAGTGTTCCCTTGTACATAGTTCTTACCAACTCGATGTAGTGTCTAGAGAGTCTTTTCTTCTTAAACACCCACCAAATCAAATCTCGAGGTACATTATCATAGCTTTCTCTAGATCAATACAGACTTCCCCATAAGCTTCTCAATCAATTGCTAAGTAGGAAAATAGCCTCAATTGTTAACCTCCCTGGCATAAAATCGAATTGGTTTTCTAATACACTTGTTTCATGCATTAGTTTCTCGCAAAACTTCATAGTGTGGCTCATAAGTTTGATCTCACGATAGTTAGCACAATTTTGTATATCTCATTTGTTCTTGTAAATAGGTACCACAATACTTTTCCTCAATTCATTTAGTATTTTTTTTGTTTTCAACACCTTGTTGAATAGCTTGGTCAGCCAGTCAATGTCAATCGCTCCCATGCACTTTCAGACCTCTATCGGGATACCATTTGGTCCTAAAGCCTTCCATATCTTCATCCTCTTCAAAGCTTCTTTCACGTCTGATATCCTAATTTTACAAATGTATCAAAGACTTTGCCCTAATTTATCCTAATCTCCCTCCACCATGCCCAAGAAACTAAAGCATGTGAAACTAATTTGCCAAGCTTATTGGTACAAGAAAGGCACTTAGAGCATTATCGTAATAAACTCAGAATACTTTACAACTTGCTTTAGCTTTTCAAGATGCCTTTTTGACATCAATTTTATATATGTATGTATCCACCTGATTGATCACATGAGGCCTCGTTTGGTTCTCTAAAAATGGGTATATTTGGGAGATGCATTGCCTAGAATTGTTATCTCCTAGAATTGGCATCTCCTAAAATTGGCATCTCCTAGAATATAGGTGTTAGCTGTTTGGATAGCATCTGGTAAGAGAATTTGGAAGATGCTTGTCCACAGTTTGGATTGCCTAGAAGAGGTGTCTCCCTGAAATTATATAATATAATATTATACAATCATAATAATATGAAGTTATATTAGAATATACAAATTACTAATATATAATTATTATGATTATGTAATAATTTGCTAATATATGATTATTATAATTATATATTTATTACATATAATTAATTTTAATTATATATATTATATTTAAAATATTATGATATAATATCATATAGTATTATAATAGTATATTATATATTTTATAATATATATATATATATATTACAGTACAAAATTTTAATTATATATATTATATTTAAAATATTATGATATAATATCATATAGTATTATAATAGTATATTATATATTTTATAATATATATATATATATATATATATATTGCAGTACAAATTACTTATATATAGTTATATATAATTAATTATAGTTATAAGTAATATAATTACCCTAATTATATGTATTATTATATTAATTGTTATATATATTAAATATTATTATATATTATCATTTAGTGTTATAACATTCTATATTAATATGTATATATATATTATAACATCGTATAGTATATTATATATATTTTATAATAGTATATATTATTAGATATTACAAACATATTAATTATTGTATTAATATATTTATAATATACGAATTACTTATATATTAATTGTTCTTTATATATATATATATATATATATATATTATTTAAAATAGGGAAATTATCATAAATATACCTTATTGTTTGATAAATTAGAAAAAAAACTTTACTTTCATAAACTTAGTCCTCACTTTTTCCTCAATTTTGGCATTTAAAATACTTTGAGTTATCATGGAATTTAAAATGCCATATAAAATGGGGAGTCATTACGGAACTTAATGCTAGGGCTTCACAATAATACGATTACTGTGAAGGCTATTTTTGTAAAAACAAATGCCAAAAAAAGGGTGTGGATGAGGTTCATTAAAGTTCCAGGTTTTTTTCCAATTTGGGGAAAATAAAGGTATATTTTTTATAATTTCCCATTAAAATATTATAATATAACATCATATAGTATTATAATATTATAGTATACATTTTATAACATTATACATTACTATATATTACAATAGTAATATAATTACCCTAATTACATATAATAAATTGTAATTATATGTATTATTATATTAATTGTTATAGTTATTAAATATTATCATATAATATCATTTAGTGTTATAATATTCTATATTATGATGATATCATAATATATTAATTGTTCTATATAATGTTTATTAGTTATATATTATAATAGAATATGTCTATTATAGTCTACAAATTACATATATATAGCAATATATAATTACTATAATTATATATTTATTCTAATTATTATATAATTATTCCATATTTAATGTTAATTATATATTAATGCATATTAATATTAAATATAATTAACTGCAAGTTTTTGGGGCCTGTGGCTCTCCTTCAATCTCCAAGAAATTCCACTTATTTTGGTGAAATTGACATTTCCACAAAAAGAACTTAAAACATGGAAATTGGTATCCACGCAGAAATAGGATTCCCGCCCTCGGAAGGCATCCAAACAGCATTTACTGTGATTTTCCATGGAAATTAATATCCAAGGGCCCATGGCTCTCCTTTAATCTCCAAGAAATGTTAATTCCACTTATTTTGGTGAAATTGACATTTCCACAAAAGAACTTAAAACATGGAAATTGGTATCCACGCAGAAATGGGACTCCCACCCTCAGAAGCCATCCAAACAGCATTTACAGTCATTTTCCATGGAAATTAACATCCAAGAAACCCATTTCCAGGGAACCAAACAGGCTCTGAACGAATTTGATTTGGAAAAGTTGTTGCAAATGGAGAGCCTGTTGAAATGTCCAATTTGTTTGTCTAGCAATAATTCTTGAATGCGAATATTATTTATTTCATTTGCTTCTTTCTACATATTCCATTTACTCAGTGAATTATTTATTTATTTAAGTATTTATTTTGTCCTGTTTTTCAAAGTTGAGCTGCTAGACTGACTTGGAATTTTAAAACCCTCATGCTTGCAATATAGATACTGGACCTTGCCACAACAACTTGTACACCATACATCTAATGGATGCAACTTAAGGCCTGGTGATTTACTTGGAACTGGGACAATTAGTGGACCTGTAAGATCTTGACTTAAATTCTATTCCATGATAATCCTGAGCATGATTCTACAATTTGTGGCTATAACTAATGAAAGCAGTTAAGTATCTAATTGTGCACTTTCTTTCATTTCTGTAACAATTCTCCGTTTTTCTGTGTCCTCAACAGGATCGAGAATCCTTAGGATGTTTGCTTGAGTTGACATGGAATGGGCAAAAGCCTTTGTCCTTACAAAATGGAGCAGTTCGCAAGTTCTTAGAGGATGAAGATGAAGTTATTATTAGTGGCTGTTGTCAGGTTATATCAGTTGACTTAAATGATTCCTACTTGCTCTCTTTGGGATACATTAATATGTGGATTTTTTGCATTTGTCGATTTAGAAAGCTTGTAAATTTGGTCGTGTGAGCATGCACCATTGTAGTTCATTACTGATTTGACTTGACTACTGATGTGAACCACCATACAGTGCACGTAGTTAAGTTAAAAAATGTAGATTTCTATCTCACAAACATGGATTGCAAACTAATAGGTTGATGTCCATTTCCTAGTAATTGTTTGTAGCAGGTTTTATTGTTCAAAAGTCAAAACTAGTGATTAAAAAGCCTGGGGTCGGGCTTGGACTTACCAGGTTTCCAACTCCCAGTCAGTGGTCCAACTCAGCCAAGTGGCCTGATTCAGCAGTCCCATTCAGCTGTGAAAAGTACAGGCCTTGATCCAGTAAGAATTGCCCAAGGCTCAGGGTTTTTCAATCCACTCCCAACACCCTGCCAAGTCTGCTGACTCGGGCAAGTCCTAGCCCGAGACATCAATTTCTTAATTACTTCTCAAAACTGTAGATCTCATCACTTGTCCGAAGTTTTGAAATGTGTACAGGGAACTTCTATGACTGTTTGAAGCTGGGGTTATAAGCCCCAAAACTTGACGTGATGCTTGTCATTGGTGATTTTTGAAACACAACTTTGCTGGTGTCTGTTCTCAAAACATTTACTTGGGGTTTCCTGACCAGCCGCAATTAAGATTGTCTCCTTTCCCGCTCCTGCTCTCCACTTTTCAGACTCTCATCTAGCATTTCTGGCAGTTTTAATTTCGAGGAAATTGTGTTGTCTTTAAGATTATGGGAAAGCTTTCTATGTTCCCCCTAAAACATAGAAGTTCTATCCTTCCCCTTATCCAACCCTCCATTTTTGAATGGAGGGCTAAGATTGCCCCAATCACAATGTCAAGCCTCTACACTATTTTATTTTTAATTTTTTTCTATAAACTATTTTGACACCAAATTTTGGACGTCCATTCCTCTATTAAACTCGCACTAACGAAAAATATAAAAAAAATATTTTCAATAAAATAAAATGACCAAAATACCCCTTGAAACATTATTTTTTATCGAAAAATTATTGTTAATATTTTTTATAAGTGCGCCCCAATGAGAACATGGAACGTACCAAATTTCACATTCAGAAAAATTGTATTAAAAAAACTAAAAATAAAATACTTTGAGACGTCGGATCTAAGATCAAACAGTGAGTGGCTCTCTTGATAAAAAATGGATGGCTGGATGGTAGGGGGAGGATAGAACTGCTATGTTATAGGGGGAACATAGAAAGCTTTCCCTAATATTATTTAGACAATGATCCAATGTACACGTAGGATTATGCTGAAACGAACTAAAATGTCTTTTATTGGTTAAAATGTATGCAAATGACTTGAGTGCTCTTTGGGGACAATACCAAAGGAACTTAAGCATGAAAAGTACAATAGGAAAGACTACTTCCCTTTTTGATACAACTTTGTAAAACACTTGTTAATACCCACTCACACTTAAGATGGTGCAGATAAATGCCCAAAATTTTTTACCACCAAGAAATTGTCATTAGATGCATTGGACTTCGTGAAGAAGTTGGTTATCTATGAGGCAGAGGAAACATGATATTCAGTACGACCTTTTTTAGAACATATTGGTAGTCAACCTCTTTGTCTTATTGCATTCAAGGAACATCATATTGGTGGTGAGAATAGTAGTTTGACTGCACTAAATTGGTGCAGTGAATTTGGATGAATGCTCAAAGCATTCATATGTTACTGAAACCACATAATCTCACTGGTCATATAGGACATTGCATGAAACTCTTCTTCATCTGTGTGTCATTTTGAACTACTGTAAGAAATCATGACGTCTTTTCAGAGAACAGACCAGCCAGAGAATACACAGAGAGGTCAGTTGTTGATAAAGAATAAGGTAATGAGCCACAATCAGTTGTAGCTTGAATAACAGTTGTACTGTTGAGAGATGCACAAATCAGGATGTCACCACCATAAACCAGCTCATCATGGGAAATGGATGAGTGGTATCCAGTCAAGTAAATGGTGAGATGCATCATGCACTAATACGCTACCTGCTTGCTCAACGTTTAGCATTTAGTGCCAAGGTGGTCTCAACAATCTTTTTTTATTTTTTTCTACAATCTTTGGATTAATGAAATTAGCCTGTTCTGTGAGATGAGCGTATGCAACAAGGCCTGGGTGTTTTTTAGCTGGGACAAAACTATGCCTTGTTGAGGATGTGAGACTTCATTTTCTTTTTGAAGAAGAGGATGTGAGACTTCATTTTCTTTTTGAAGAAGAGGATGTGAGACTTCATTGCCTAAGAAAAGCTGAAGTGTATCTAAATATTTCATCCCAAACAAGTGTTGGAATAGGAGCTTGATGGCATTGTTCATAAGACGTCAATCGTTTAATGGTCTTTTTTATTTTTTTTCGAAATTCCTCCATGGTCTTTTCATCTGCATGAGGAAGAATTGCCTGGGTCCATGTAGAAGTGCTGATAAAAAATGGGTGATTTCAATGCACAACATGAGAAAATATGGAGCTGAGTTTCCCAAGCAGATGCTTGTGTTTAATATAGTTATGAAGTCAGCAGCATAATGTGACTGCAGAAGAGCAAGGGCTGGAAGTGATTGCGAGTCTACCAATTCTTAGAGGTCCCTTTCAGAAGAAAAGGGAGCATTCTGCACAACGTGCTTTCTCACTATTGAACAACTGCAGTCACCAATATCGTCCAAATAGTGGCCATCTTGGCAATGGAAAACTAAGTCTAATCGGTTTTCAGTAGCACACTGTTTTCCCTTGCGGCAAAGACTATCCTTGTGGCACTATCAAAATGGACCATCAAAATGAGTCTTCAAATTTTTGTCATCTCTCTCTCTTCTCTTTCTCTTTCTCACTCTCACACACACATGCATGCGTGTGCAAGCACAAGCGCGCACACAAAGAGACAAACACATCTACTTCTTTGAAGCTAGGGCATTAGTTAAAAGAAAGTACCCACTTGTTACAATTACATATCAAAAAGGAAAAAAAAAAGATATCATTCACCTTAGAAGTGACCAGAAACAAAACCGATTATAATAAAGAATAAAATAAAAATAAAAACAAAACCGATTATCTTATTTAGCTTTCCATATGCTTGATTAGCTTCAAGTGTATTTCACTTTTGTAAGTTAGCCATTCAATGGATTTAGCATAGCTTCTTGTATTGTGCATTTATAGAGGTATCCTGTGTGCATGGGATCCATACTCACTACTTTATATGCGCATGCATACACGTGCTCATGGGCTTTAGGATTGTACAAGTCATTTAGATGGACATAAGTGAGTGAAGCCCTCGTGTATGTGTCTAGTTGTACCAATTCATGCACATGGGCATCATCATTGCACCCATGAGTGACACTCATCTATGTATTTATTGGTGGACAATATATAAATGCACATATGCAAGCGTATGCATGCGATGCATGGATGTTTCAGCACTCTTCTTTTTCATATCCATTGTACACAAACCTGCATGTTAATGGCACTGTTGTATGCATTTTCTTTTCTATATCTGCAGTACATGTATTTTTTCCTTGTTTTGTAGTTGAGCGGATGGATTCTAACTTAGACATGTAATTGTCAACACCTTAACCAGTTAAACCAAAGCTAAACTGCTGAAACTACAATTGTACATGGATATCTATGTCAATGATAAAACAAAATGGTAGAACATGATTTGTGTAGCCGACTCCAAGTAGTTGTGATAAGGCTCGGATGATAATGATGATGATAATCATCATCATCCATGCAATGCACCCCTTTGTGCACGCCCATAGTAGAATTACTTCGAACTTTTCATATTGAAAACCTATTCATTAGAAGGTTCCAGTTAACATTTAGAATTGCTTAAATTTGCAGGGGAATGGCTACAAAGTTGGATTTGGAACATGCACAGGCAGGATTCTTCCGGCACTCCTCTGATGTAGCATTATAGGGCATGCGCATCAAATAATTGCTGAATATTTGATTCTTAGGCCCCACCAAATACCATGATTTGGTTTCTATTATTATGTTTATATGAGGACTTAACCTTTGTTTCTTTATCCCAATAAAGCAGACAGTTATGACTGCACCGACCATGTTCATTAGTGTCAAGAGGGTATGCGCTTTTATCAATGTCAATAGATTATACACTCGTGGCAGCATTTTCTCCTTTTCACTCCCTTGGGTAAAACTCAATCTAGGAGTATTTTTATGCCCTGAAATAACCTCTTCAACCAATGACCTAAAAGGAAAAATAAAATAAAACAATATATGCATGGAAAAAAATAACATCTTAAGACTGCAGATCACCTTTTGGATCATCAGATCCAAGTTTTTAAGAATTCAAAATCCAATTTTTCCTTTTTTTTTGGAAATAATCATTTCATAATTCTTAGGTGGATCCTAAAATTTCAGATCAAACGGATCCTTTTGAAGCTCTTCTATTCTCTTAGTTGGGAGAATGTGACATGCACTCTATATCAATTAAAAGAAGGGTGCAGTTGGCATGCGGATGCATCCGTAGCAATAGAGGTAAGGTGCACCTTCAAATTTTATCGTGGTATATAATTTTGAGGTAAAATGTTCTTAAGATTATCTCAAGAGAAATGATCTTAAAGGACCCTCTCTCCACTCATGTGTGTGGGACTCCAAATGATCATCATTAAATTTGACACGGATTTATAGAAAAATCAAGTTCTACAACTATGTGATAATTTTTCTAGAGTTTCATGCCAACTTTAATGATGATCATTTGGGGTCCTACATGTATGGGTGGGGGAGGGTTCTATAGGATCGTTACTCTTATCTCAAAATCTATTTTTATATCTGATTATAAAATTCTAAATTTAAAAATGGTTAAAATCAAGTAGATCAATAAACATATGAAAATCTTGAAAATGGATGGTTTAGATAATGTGTTGTAAAATGCACTCTTTCTGAGACTTAAAATCTTTTTGTTTTTCATGGTCATATATCTCGATGTCGAGATGATCAATCCAAGGGTTTTTCAACATTAAAACTACCTTTT